TCACCTCCATTACCAAGTAGAGCCACGATGAACTATGTGTGATCAAGGATGTTGTCAAGTCCTCTTCCCTGAGGACTGATTAGTGTTTATCTTGAAAACATGTACTTAATGGGTTGCATAGAACAGTGAAGTTTTTTTTCTGTCTTTTCAACCTCTCAGGTCTTTGCCTCTATTTCCCATCACATTCTGTCTAAGGCTTATTTATTAATAAGATGGTTTTTATTTCTTTCTCTTTTGTCGTGAAGATGATTTCTCATTTCGGGGAAGATATTTTAGTTTTCAATTGTGTTTTCACAACATTTAAAAAGCGAAGTAAAAAGTATTTCTTGGACCAGGCACAGCGACTCACTCCTGTACTCCAAGCACTTTGGGAGGCCGAGGCAGGCGGATGACTTGAAGTCAGGAGTTCGAGACCAGCCTGTCCAACATGGTGACAGCCCATCTCTACCTAAATACAAAAATTAGCCGGGCATGGTGGCGTGCGTCTGTAATGCCAGCTATTCCGGAGACTGAGGCAGAAGAATCGCTTCAACCCAGGAGGCAGAAGCTGCAGTGAGCCGAGATCTCGCCACTGCACTCCAGCATGCGCGACAGAGAAATACTATGTCTCACTCACATACACACACACATACACACACACACACACGAAAAAAAATGGAAATAAAAAGGAGAAAGTAATAGATCTCTTTTACAAACGTGCTGGCACAACTAACTGGATATTCATATGGAAAAGAGTAAGGTATCCCTATGTCAGGCAAGGAAATTTTTTTTTTTTTTTTTTTTTTCCTGCGACAGAGTCTGGCTCTGTCGCCCAGGCTGGAGTGCAGTGGCGAGATCTCGGCCCACTGCAAGCTCCACTTCCCGTGCTCACAGCATTCTCCTGTCTCAGCCTCCTGAGTAAGCTGGGACTATAAGCGCCGGCCACCACGCCCGGTTAATTTTTATATTTTTAGTGGAGACGGGGCTTCACCGTGTTAGCCAGTCTCGATGCCCTGACCTCGAGATCCGCCCGCCTCAGCCTCCCAAAGTGCTGGGATTACAGGCGTGAGCCACCGTGTCCTAATCAAAATTTTATTAAAAAAAAAAAAAAAAGCGGGAGGGAATGTTACTTTGTCGCCCAGGCTGGCCAGGACCCCCAGGCTCAGCGATTCTCCCGCTACTGCTTCCTGAGTAGCTGGGACCTCAGGCTCCCACGCCCGCGCCCGCATCCCTGCTGTGTTTAAGCAGCAGGTAGTGACCTCACTCCTCCTTGGCCTGAGCACTCCGTCCCGCAGGTGGTGGCCCTAGGGAAGTCTCTGAAGCTGAGCACTGGGTGGACTCTCCCTCCTGAGTGAATGGAGAATAGAAAGGGAGAGGATTTCTATTCTGTCCTGTGGGCCATCAGCATGAAATCCTACCTTCCACCCAGGCAGGACTTTGCATTTTACATTCTGGTTTGCATCCTCCTTCCAGACTATTCCAGGGCTTTTGAATCATCCTTCTGCCTTCCTGGCTGCTCTCGCCGCCAAAACCCGGAGTACAGGGGCTGGAAGGACCTTGACAGACACACAGGTCCCGCTCCGGCCCCGCCCTCTGCCGGTACTAAAGTGCAAGTTCTCTCCGCTTCGCCCCCGCCCCTACCTCACCTAGGCCCCGCCCACACCTCACCCAGGCCCCGCCCACACCTCACCCAGGCCCCGCTCACCTCCTCGTTGGCTCCACCCAGGCCTGGTTTCTGTCTTGCGCGCCCAGATTCGCGCAGACCAGGAAGCGGATCCCGTGGAGTGACCGTCACACCGCGGCGGTGAGTTTTGCTCTGTGTTGTATTAAGTCTGCGCTCCCCAGGCCTCCGGCACTTCTGTACATGGGATGTGGGGTCCCCGTAGACCTGGAAGTTCTCGTCTTTCTTCCTTCACTCAGAGCAAATGGAGATGTTCTCCTGGGGGTCCGGAAGTCCCTTCTTTTTGGGTTTAAAGTCACCCTGAGGCTGGTCCCGTCCTGGGTCTTTCTGCTACAGCGTATACACTTCCTATGGCGTAGTTTTCTTGCTAAAAACCGTTTTTTGACTCCTTCCGCACTGCGCTTTTTAAAGTCCTCACCCGAGAGGTGTATTCCCACCCTGCGCGTCTCCCAGCCTCACCCTCGTCAATTCCTGGAGCACAGCACCGTGACCCCAGTAGCGGGGAGGACGCGTTCTCTGGTCCTGGGATCCTGCAGATCCCACCCTTGTCCGAAGGCATCGTTGCCCCCCACCTCCCTCCTCCTCATGCTGGGCCCTGCTGCTCCCCAGGTCTTCCCTCCGCAGTCACCGCTTCCCCTGAGCCCGCACTGTAGAGGTGGCCGGTGCCTGTCCTGTGATACGAGGTGTTCTTGCCTGCCCAGATCCAGCTCTTGGAAAATGCGCTCCTCCGAGATGCCGGCGTCTTCCTCCAAACCCTCGTGTGATTGTGTGGGCCAGCAGGATCAGGAGACAGAGAGAGGGACTGAGAGAGCAGTAGAAAACCAGAGACAGAGAAAAAGAAGAATGAGGAAGACCCATACAGATAGCAAAGTAGAGGATAGGTGAGGGATTTGCCAAGAGACAGCAAAAGTGAAAAAAAGATAAGAAAGCAGGAGGAGAAAAGCAACTGCAGAAATGTAGAGAAAAACTAGATGTACAGAGATGAAGGACAGACAGCAAGGTAGTGAGGGGCAGCAAAGAGGGAGGCTCAGAGTGAGGGAGAGGAGGAGGCATTTGGAGCCAGGGCAGACAGAGCAGAGTGGTGCTGGTGGCAAGGAGAAGAGAGGGAGAACCACAGCAGGGAGGACACCTGGGGATCTGAGGTGCCAGATTGGGGACAGGGGGTTATAACAGGGAAGAGAGAATTTAACAGGGAGAACAGAGGATGCGCAGAGATGGGAGAAGAGGCAGAAATCTATGGAGATTGAGGACAATCTAAAGCTTGGGGAGAAGGAGCAACTAGAGGTTAAATAAGTTGTGACGATGGAGCCCGGGTAATTTTTGTATTTTTAGTAGAGACAGGATTTCACCATGTTGGCCAGGTTGGTCTCAAACTCCTGACCTCAGGTGATCCACCCACCTCCACCTCCCAAAGTGCTGGAATTACAGGTGTGAGCCACCGCAGCTGTCCACCCGTGTATTCTTGATTGAAAAATTTGCTTATGTCTTAGTTCTGCAGCTGACCCTGTTTCCCTGTTTCCAAGGTCAATAGCTGTGTGTTTACACTTCTGCATTTTATAAATGTTACTGAGATTTTCTTCTAAGGAAGAATTCAATGTTGGCTGTCAGTTTCATCAGAACCTTTCCAAAGAATTTTCTTTAACCCAGGTAGGTGAAAGATACTTCTCTAAATTTAAGGATTGGAAAAGACAACCTTCCTTTAGCTTTTCAGCCCCCATGTAAGAATTCAGACCACCTCTCAATTCATTTCAGACCTTCTCAGGTAACTTGGTGAAATGTTGCCGGCTCTGGCCCCAGTGGGCCTCCCTTGCACTTGCGGATGGGACGGAGCTGTGGACCAGAAAGCTCAACCTGAGTGGACCCTGACCCTGAAATGCTTGCAATAGGTGCGGTGTACTGGGTGTGCTTTCTGGGAGAGAGTGCCAGGTTGGTAATTAAATTTTCCAATGGGGATGCAGTAACCCAAATGAGGAGAAAAAAAAAAAAGGCGGAGAATGAAGAACAGGGTTGGTGACTCATGAAACAGGGACCATCTTCAGGAGGCCTTTTCTCTGTATGGAGGATATACAGCTACGTCTAAAGAGGTCTGGTCAGTCCCTGGCAGGGACCTCACCGGCTTCTGGTGCCCGGGAAGAGTTCCAGCCTCTTCCTTTGGTCCAAGCCCTGTTGTCCAGTCCCCTGCAGTGTCCGGGCCTCCTCCTGGGGGCTTGCCTCCTCTCCTGCCTCCTCTGGCCGTATTTGCTTTCTTTTTTTTCAACATCAAATCCTTCCTGGTCTCAGGTCATGTCTCCGCTTTTATTTTGTTTTAAATGAGATGGCACTGTCCTTTCCCCCCCCTCCTTCAGGTCTAGGCTCAGGATGCTCCCTTGGCCGCCTTCCCACCCCTTGGAATGTTCCCTCTGCCTGTCAGTCTTATCCATCTAGGTGTTTTTCTCTCTTGTTGTCATTCTTATCGAATGCCTTTTTTTTTTTTTTCCCAAACAGACTCTCACTCTGTCCTCCAGGCTGTGAGTACAGTCTTGTGATCTTGGCTCACTGCAACCTCTGTCTCCTGGGTTCAACTGATTCTTGTGCCTCAGCCTCCCAAGTAGCTGAGATTACAGGTGTATGCCTCCACACCCTGCTAATTATTGTATTTGTATTTTATTTTATTTTTGAGTCTTACTCTCTCGCCCAGGCAGTAGTGCAGTGGTGCAATCTCAGGTCACTGCAGCCTCCACTTTCCAGGTTCAAGAAATTATCCTTCCTCAGCCTCCTGAGTAGCTGGGATTACAGATGCCCATGAAGCTCAGCTACTTTTTGTATTTTTAGTACAGACAGGGTTTCACCATGTTGGCCAGGCTGGTCTTGAACACGTGACCTCAAGTAATCCACCCACCTCAACCTTTCAGAGTGCTAGTATTACAGGCATGAGCCACCGTGCATGGCCCAGTTTTTGTATTTTTAGTAGAGACAGGGTTTCTCCATGTTGGCCAGGCTGGTCTCAAGCTTCTGAGCTCAAGTGATGCTTCCACCTCAGCTTCCTAAGTAGCTAGGACCACAGACACACAGATGTGCACCACCCTACCTGGCTAAGTTTTTGTATTTCTAATAGAGTTTTCCTGAAGGGGAGCTCATCCCAGCCCAGCTCCCCACAGCTGAAGTGTGTGTGGGGGGGGCGGGGGGGAAGCTTCTCCAGGAGGGGAGCAGGAGTTTTCCTTTAGGAATTTTTGTTCCTGGTGCAGTGGGCAGCAGAGGGGACCGTATTTCCTCAGGGTGAGGTGTCCTTTGTTTGTGTCATTGTGTTACAGGGAGGGGGTTTCTTGATTCTGAGCAATAAACAACATATTTCTAACATTCAGGACTGACTTCTAAACACTCTTGGTCCATGAGGAAGAAACCCGGAAGAGGAAGAGGAAAGCAAAGGAGTCAGGGATGGCTCCTCCTCAGGTGAGATGATATTCTCGGTGGATTGTTCTGTCTCCTTCCTTTCAGAAACACTGGGGCTTGGAGTTGGGAATCTTCTGAGTCTGAAGCGTCCTGCCTGACAGGTTTGCTCGCACTCACCCATGCCTTCCCTCAGTCCCTCTCATCTTGCTTAGATTCCATCTCTAATGACCCAGTGACATGAACTTGGGAAGAGGCGGCACTGGGCATGGGCCTGGGAAGGGCTCACACCAGACATGGATGGAGACGGGGTGAGGGTCCTGTGGTGTCAGTGCTGTTGGGCAGCAGGGATTGTTCAGGGGCCACATCTGGATGCACTGTCAGCTCTCTGTGGACCAGGATTAGAGCAGCTGCCAATGGAAGTCACGTATTAATGATCACAAAGTATGTGGTAAATTCTAGAAAAGGAGACCAATAAAGGAAAATCTTTACTCCCTGATTTTATACTACATTTTTAGGTAATTGAGTGAGTTACTGTGTTTCTGACTCCAAAAATCTTACTAATTAGAATGGAAAGTTCATACACAGACATGAATGATACAAGGTGTTTTACTCCATCATTATTTTAAGAATATGAAATCAATGTAAATAATAGGAGGAGATTCATTAAACTATTCTTATCACATTAAGCTCATAAAGACAGTGGTGTTACTGTGGAGAGGCTTGTGAAACAAGTGTTTTTGGTAAAAATGTTTACAATTTTTCTCAAATATGAGAGTAGTACTTCTTTTTTATCCCAGAGGATAAAGCTGTATTCTCATTCCACCTATTGTTATTATTGTTTTTCTGAAACGGAGTCTTGCTTTGTTGCCGAGGCTGGAGTGCAGTGGCATGATCTCAACTTACTGCAACCTCTGCCTCCCAGGTTGAAGCGATTCTCCCGTGTCAGCCCACCTAGTAGCTAGGATTATAGGCATGCGCCACCACGCCTGGCTAATTTTTTTGTACTTTTAGTGGAAACGGCATTTTACCATGCTGGCCAGGCTGTCTTCCAACTCCTAACCTCAGGTGCTCTGCCTGTCTCAGCCCCCGAGAGCACTGGGATTACAGGCACAAGCCACCATGCCCAACTCCACCAGTTATTATTACATATAAATGGTTATGTTTAAACATCACATGATGTATATATTTGTTTTGTGGTAGGTCTCCAAGCAAAGCTGCAGCTTAGGCTCTTAGCTATAAAGCATCTCCTTTCCTTGTCACGTCCTCCACCCTCCTTCCAGCCTCACTGGGGAGCCGCTACTGTCAGTTCTGTGTTAGGTGTCAGAGCAAGTCTCATACACGTGTATTTCTGCATCATTATGAGATTTTAAAAAAAATTCTGGGCCAGGCGTGGTGGCTCACACCTGTAATCCCAGCACTTTGGGAGGCTAAGGCCAGCGGATCATGAGGTCAGGAGATTGGGACCATCCTGGCTAATATCATGAAACCCTGTCACTACTAAAAAATACAAAAATTAGCCGGACGTGTTGGTGGGCACGTGTAGTCCCAGCTACTTGGGAGGCTGAGGCTGGAGAATGGCATGAAGCTGGGAGGTGGAGCTTGTAGTGAGCCAAGATCTTGCCACTGAGCTCCAGCCTGGGTGACAGAGCAAGACTCCAGTCTCAAAAAAAAAAAAAAAAAAAAAAAAAGAAAGAAAAAAGAATTCTGTTGTAAATTTTTTTTAAAATTTTATTTTATTTTTTCACTTTATGCTTGGGGCTACATGTGAAGGCTTGTTACAGGGGTAAACTCACATCATCGGGTTTTGTTGTACCAATTATTTCATCACTCCAGTATCAAGCCCAGTACCCAATAGTTGTTTTTATTTCATTTTATTTTAATTTAATTTAATTTAATTTTTTGAGATGGAATCTCACTCTGTCACCCAGGCTGAAGTGCAGTGGTGTGATCTCGGCTCACTACAACCTTCACCTCTTGGGTTCAGGCAATTCTCTGCCTCAGCCTTCTGAATAGCTGAGATTGCAGGTGCCTGTCACCATGCCCAGCTAATTTTTTTGTATTTTTAGTAGAGACGGGGTTTCGCCATCTTGGCCAGGTTGGTATTGAACGCCTGACCTCATGATCTACCCACCTCAGCCTCCCAAAGTGCTGGGATTACTGGTGTGAGCCACCAAACCTGGCTGTTATTTTTTATTTATTTATTTTTTTCAAGACTGAGTTTTGCTCTTGTTGCCCAGGCTGGAATATAATGGCATGATCTCAACTCGCTGCAACCTCTGCCTCCCAGGTTCAAGCGAGTCTCCTGCCTCAGCCTCTCGAGTAGCTGGGTTTTCAGGTGCCAGCCACCATGCCTGGCTAATTTTTGTATTTTTAGTAGAGACAGAGTTTCACCATGTTGGCCAGGCTGGTCTTGAACTCCTGTCCTCAGGTGATCCACCCGCCTAAGCCTCCCAAAGTGCTGGGATTACAGGTGTGAGCCACTGTGCCCGGGCCCAGTAGTTATTTTCTCTGCTCCTCTCCTTCCTCCCACTGCCAAGACGAGATTCCTCTTCAGTTAAACAAATCTTGCTACTTTTATATTTTTAAAACCTTTATAAATATATATACACACACATAAATACACGTACATCTATACATATACATACATATATACATACATACATATATATTTTGAAAATCTGGGGAAAATTACAACCCTTTTTATTAATATCTAATTTCTTGTGAGTCTATGTAGGTTTTATTATTGTTTTGGACTTACATATTTTCATACTTTGAGTAATGCTGTTTTCATATATTTATTTTATTTTGAGACAAGGTCTCGGTCTGTTGCCCAGGCTGGAGTGCAGTGGCATGATCTTAGCTCACTGCAACCTCCACCCTCAGGCTCAAGCCATCCCTCAACCTCTGCCTCTCAGGTGGCTGGGACTGCAGGTGCCCCCATGCCTGGTTAATTTTAATTTTAATTTTTTGAGCAGAATCTTGCTCTGCAGCCCAGGCTGGAGTGCAGTGGCATGATCTTAGCTCACTGCAACCTCCACCCTCAGGCTCAAGCCATCCCTCAACCTCTGCCTCTCAGGTGGCTGGGACTGCAGGTGCCCCCATGCCTGGTTAATTTTAATTTTAATTTTTTGAGCAGAATCTTGCTCTGCAGCCCAGGCTGGAGTGCAGTGGCATGATCTTAGCTCACTGCAACCTCCACCCTCAGGCTCAAGCCATCCCTCAACCTCTGCCTCTCAGGTGGCTGGGACTGCAGGTGCCCCCATGCCTGGTTAATTTTAATTTTAATTTTTTGAGCAGAATCTTGCTCTGCAGCCCAGGCTGGAGTGCAGTGGCATGATCTTAGCTCACTGCAACCTCCACCCTCAGGCTCAAGCCATCCCTCAACCTCTGCCTCTCAGGTGGCTGGGACTGCAGGTGCCCCCATGCCTGGTTAATTTTAATTTTAATTTTTTGAGCAGAATCTTGCTCTGCAGCCCAGGCTGGAGTGCAGTGGCATGATCTTAGCTCACTGCAACCTCCACCCTCAGGCTCAAGCCATCCCTCAACCTCTGCCTCTCAGGTGGCTGGGACTGCAGGTGCCCCCATGCCTGGTTAATTTTAATTTTAATTTTTTGAGCAGAATCTTGCTCTGCAGCCCAGGCTGGAGTGCAGTGGCATGATCTTAGCTCACTGCAACCTCCACCCTCAGGCTCAAGCCATCCCTCAACCTCTGCCTCTCAGGTGGCTGGGACTGCAGGTGCCCCCATGCCTGGTTAATTTTAATTTTAATTTTTTGAGCAGAATCTTGCTCTGCAGCCCAGGCTGGAGTGCAGTGGCATGATCTTAGCTCACTGCAACCTCCACCCTCAGGCTCAAGCCATCCCTCAACCTCTGCCTCTCAGGTGGCTGGGACTGCAGGTGCCCCCATGCCTGGTTAATTTTAATTTTAATTTTTTGAGCAGAATCTTGCTCTGCAGCCCAGGCTGGAGTGCAGTGGCATGATCTTAGCTCACTGCAACCTCCACCCTCAGGCTCAAGCCATCCCTCAACCTCTGCCTCTCAGGTGGCTGGGACTGCAGGTGCCCCCATGCCTGGTTAATTTTAATTTTAATTTTTTGAGCAGAATCTTGCTCTGCAGCCCAGGCTGGAGTGCAGTGGCATGATCTTAGCTCACTGCAACCTCCACCCTCAGGCTCAAGCCATCCCTCAACCTCTGCCTCTCAGGTGGCTGGGACTGCAGGTGCCCCCATGCCTGGTTAATTTTAATTTTAATTTTTTGAGCAGAATCTTGCTCTGCAGCCCAGGCTGGAGTGCAGTGGCATGATCTTAGCTCACTGCAACCTCCACCCTCAGGCTCAAGCCATCCCTCAACCTCTGCCTCTCAGGTGGCTGGGACTGCAGGTGCCCCCATGCCTGGTTAATTTTAATTTTAATTTTTTGAGCAGAATCTTGCTCTGCAGCCCAGGCTGGAGTGCAGTGGCATGATCTTAGCTCACTGCAACCTCCACCCTCAGGCTCAAGCCATCCCTCAACCTCTGCCTCTCAGGTGGCTGGGACTGCAGGTGCCCCCATGCCTGGTTAATTTTAATTTTAATTTTTTGAGCAGAATCTTGCTCTGCAGCCCAGGCTGGAGTGCAGTGGCATGATCTTAGCTCACTGCAACCTCCACCCTCAGGCTCAAGCCATCCCTCAACCTCTGCCTCTCAGGTGGCTGGGACTGCAGGTGCCCCCATGCCTGGTTAATTTTAATTTTAATTTTTTGAGCAGAATCTTGCTCTGCAGCCCAGGCTGGAGTGCAGTGGCATGATCTTAGCTCACTGCAACCTCCACCCTCAGGCTCAAGCCATCCCTCAACCTCTGCCTCTCAGGTGGCTGGGACTGCAGGTGCCCCCATGCCTGGTTAATTTTAATTTTAATTTTTTGAGCAGAATCTTGCTCTGCAGCCCAGGCTGGAGTGCAGTGGCATGATCTTAGCTCACTGCAACCTCCACCCTCAGGCTCAAGCCATCCCTCAACCTCTGCCTCTCAGGTGGCTGGGACTGCAGGTGCCCCCATGCCTGGTTAATTTTAATTTTAATTTT